TGACCTAACTAACATAGCTACTATACAAAGGATTCTCAATAGATTACTAGCACTTAGGAGGTTTGCAAAGTTGATGTTGAAGTCTTCTCAGATGTTATTATACAGAATTCATTATACAGACTATATAATACAAAAATTTAAAGAATGTTTGTATATAAGTTTAATTTATGAACTTATAGAAGTTTACAGAGTATATTATACAGATAATTCTACAGGGTTTGGCAAAATTTTATTCTTTCTTAAATTGGAATGTCTGATTAAGTTAAATTAAGTGCATACTACCTGATTTCTTGAATCATATTTTGCCTTTGACCCTATTAAGCCTTTAAGAAAGATCCATGGGAGGTGGAAGTCTTTTACCCAGTGACAATTTGGAACAAGCCAAGAAATGGCTGAACTTCACTGACATTTCACTGAGATAACACACTGATCTCTGTTGGAGACCATCCTTTCTACTAAAATCCAACTTGAGAGGACATCAGGATAAAATAAAACTGTGAGATCTCAGATTCTCAACCTATTTTTATGGCATTAGAAATATGTTAGATTAGTTTTTTTTTAATTATTTATTTGTTCTTTTTAGTTATATATGAAGATAGAATTTTGACATATATCATATACATGTATTTTGACATATCATATATACATGGAGTATAACTTCCCACTCTTGTGCTTATACATGATGTGGAGTTACACTGGTCATGCATTCATATATGAACATAGGAATGTTATGTCTGATTCATCTACTGCTTGTCCTATGCCTATCCCCCACTCCCTTCCCCTCATTCCCTTTTGTCTAATCCAGGGAACTTCTATCCCATCACACCCCTAGCCCTGCTTATTGTGAATCAGCATCTGCATATCAGAGAGAACATTCAGCCTTTGTTTTGGGGGGATTGGCTTATTTCACTTAGCATGATAGTCTCTGGTTCCATCCATTTATCAGCAAATGCCACAATTTCATTCTTTTTTATGGCTGAGTAATATTTGTTAGATTGTTTTCTTACAGCCGCTCATACAAGAGTATTTGGATCCATTATTATAGTTAATACATTACACAAAACATTTGGATTTTTTGCATGTATTGGTGTAAAAATATCAATTATGTAAAAACAAATAAGCAGTAAAATACCTATCTCATAGACCCAAGAGAGGGTATTTATCCCAGGCACATTTTCATACATCTACACAAAGGTACTCGAGATGGGAGGATTGTTGAAAGGCTGTGGTGCTGGGAGCCATCAGTGTGTGGAGAAGACCAGGTGTGTGCATGGGAAAGGTGATGGAAGCTGACTGGATCGTCTGGTTGCACCTGCAGCAATACAGACAGAGCAGAAAAACTAACCATCAGAACAGGTCTCGAATGCAATGCAATCAATCAAGTAAAAATGCAGGCATAAAAAAAAACAGCAAAACATGTTTTTATAAGAATGCATATGCACACAAGCATATACTGCATCTACATCAAATGCATTAGGATGGGATCCTGGGCAATGAAGAGGAAAGAGAATAAAGGCAGAAAACTAGAGGGGAGACTCTCATGAGCCAAGAAAATGTGCTATGAACTAATGAATGTGACCAGCTCTACTCTCCACACCCAAGGTCCAAACCATGGAGAAGAAATCCAAGCAACTCAGAAAGGGGTTTATTTTGGGTGTTTATCCTTGTAGCTCCTGAACCAGGTGCTTAAGTGTGAGGTTAATGATTGCCAGGTGGGTTCTGAAGCGCTCTGGATACACTTGGGTGCTTTCTAGGCCAGAGGCGCTCAACCTTGTGTGCACATTAGAGACATCTGGGGAGACATTTTTAAAAAGCACTAGCAGGCCCTGCCCTCAGAGATTCTGCTTCAGTACTCTGAGGAGCCAGACATTGGGACTTTTTTTTTTTTTTTTTTTTTTTTGGTACCAGGGGTTGAACCCAGAGGTGTTTAACCACTGAGCCACATCCTCAGCCCTTTTGTTTTTTTATTTTGATACAGGGTCTGGCTGAGTTGCTTAGGGCCTCACTAAATTGCTGAGGCTGGCTTTAAACCTGCAATTCTCCTGCCTCAGCCTCCTAAGCCACTGGGATTATAAGATTGCACCACTGTGCCTGGAGACATTGGGATTTTTTCAAGGTGATTCTAATTACATTTAGAATTTAGAACCATTGCTTTAGGCTCCCCCATTACTGGCTTTTTTCTTTTTTCCCTAGTTGCAAATATTATAATTTTGGGCATATGAAAAGAGACTACTGAAAGCAGATTTTTTTTTCCTTTTGCAAAACACTAATTTCATTATTTTCAAAGAACACCAAAGACAGCAAAATTCATTTTATTCCTCTAATCATACATCCAAACTATTTGCTGGGCTGCGATAGGTGGGGCACTGAATAATTCTAGGAAATATGTCCACAGTGCAGTTTATACAAATAAATTCTTCTGCAGTTGATCAGTGCATAACCTGCCCTATTGTATATAACAGCTCAAGTGTTCCCTTTCTGTCATGCTGTAGACTAAGTACCTTGGCTATACTGGTGAACAAGATGGTATGATCACTGCCCTGGTAGAACTGGTAGACTTCCAGGGAAGTCGGTCACATGGATGGCTTCCATGAAGTGTGACAGTCCTGGGGTGGGAACTCATATCAGGACTCCTTACACAGTCTGGAGGAGGGGGGAAGGAAGGGATAGTTTGAGGAATTGAAATTTGAATCTAAACCTGAAGAATAAGTACTGGGAATAGAGAGCAGGAAGAGCTGTCCACCTGGAGGAAACATCCCTGTAAAGGCATGGGAACTTTGCTGTGCTCCCAGCATAACCCGGAAGTTAGATGAGAAACAGGAATGAAGGAAGCAAAGCCTGGTCCCAAGGGGTCTCCTGGGCCAGGCAGAGAAGTTTGGACTTTACCACAAGGATGCTGGGGGTGAAGTAACCACACCTGGACTTGAAGCTCATTCTGGCTACAAGGAGAGTGGGTGGCAGGAGCCAAGGGTGGAGGCAGGGGACTGGTACAGAGCTGTTGCACAGATCTGGGTGGGAGGAGGAGGTGGCTTGGGTGGAGCAGCAGAAGGAGTGAGGCAGACTCCTGTGAGAGAGGATCAGGAGAGACACAAGGAGGGTGCCTGGATCTGAGGGAGTGGGTCAACAACACTAGTGGTGGTCTGTCTGTTGAAATAAGGAGGAGGAGAGAAGAAGCTCTGGTGGGAAGATGGATTTTGAAGGACTGATCTTGCAGGTTCAGTTCCTGGGAGCTAGATTCTGAGACACAGTTTAGAAAGCAGGTTATTTCTTAATATCTCAAAGTTTGCTCTTGAGGGTGACACCTGCAGGGTGGGGACAGGGCAGGAGTAGAGGAAGGAGACATAGAGCTGCAGGTCAGGCCTAAGGATGGCCTTGACTGTGGGATGTGGAATCTTCCAACAGGCAAAGAAACTGAACAGGGCTGGGGATGTGGCTCAAGCGGTAGCGCACTCGCCTGGCATGCCTGCGGCCCGGGTTCGATCCTCAGCACCACATACCAACAAAGATGTTGTGTCCGCCGAAAACTAAAAAAAAAAAATATATTAAAATTCTTTCTCTCCTCTCTCTCTCTCTCTCTCTCTCTCTTTCTCTTTCTCTCTCTCTCTCTCTCTCTCTTTTAAAAAAAAAAGAAACTGAACAGACCCTCCACAGAAGAACAAATATGATCCAGTCAATAAATATGTGTTTAACACCTCTAGAAATTAGAGAAATGCAAATCAAAACTACACTGAGATTCCCTCACTCCAGTCAGAATGGCAATTATCAAGAATACAAGACAATAAATGTTGGTAAGGATGTGGGGGGAAAGATTCACTCATGTATTGATGGTGGGACTGCAAATTGGTGAAACCATTCTGGAAAGTAGTATGGAGATTCCTCAGAAAACCTGGAATGGAACCACCATTTGACTTAGTTATCCCACACCTCAGCATATACCCAAAGGATATAAAATCAGCATACTACAGTGATGTGGCCACATCAGCGTTTACAGCAGCTCAATTCACAATAGTTAAGCTATGGAACCAACCTAGGTGCTCTTCAATAGATGAATGGATGAAGAAAACGTTGTATTATAAACAATGAATATTACTTAGCCATAAAGAAGAATGAAATTATGTTATTTGCTGGTAAATGGCTGGAACTAGAGACTCTCATGCTAAGTGAAATAAGCCAATCCCCCAAAACCAAAGGCTCAATGCTAACACACAATAAGGGGGGGGGAGAATAGAAATTCATTGGATTAGATAAAAGGGAATGAAGGAAAGGGAGCGGGAATGAAAATGGGAAAGACAGTAGAATGAATGGGACATAACTTTCCTGTGTTTATATATGAAGACTCAACCAGTGTAACTCCACATCATAAAAAAACACAAGAATGGGAAGTTATACTCCATGTATGTTTTTGTTTTGTTTTGTTTTTAAAGAGAGAGAATTTTTAATATTCATTTTTCAGTTCTCGGCGGACACAACATCTTTGTGTGGTGCTGAGGATGGAACCCGGGCCGCATGCATGCCAGGCGAGCGCACTACCGCTTGAGCCACATCCCCAGCCCTCCATGTATGTTTAATATGTCAAAATACATACTACTTTCATGTATAACAAAAAGAATACATAAAAATAATTTTAAAAAGGAAGCAAAGTTTCTTTGTACAGTTTTTTCCACATTTATTAATTGATTAGAAACTGCATGATGCTGATTTTCTCAGGAAATCTGTGTAGTAGATTGGCGCCCTTTTTAAAAACAATTTTTCTTTCTTTTTTTTTTTTTTTTTGAGCAATGTTGACACAAAGCTGAGTCATTTGGCAGGAAAGTTTGCCAGTAAGAGTTGGGAGTGAGTGGGAGAGGCGTTTTACCACTTATCAGCCAGAAGACTCCCCGATAATAACCCCACTGGGACAGCACGTTCATGTCAACCTTAGGATTTGTAACATATTAACTCCATTTTACAGTTGAGGAAATTAAGTCTCCGAAGTCAAAGCAGCTCACAAGGTCCCAGAACCCTCACATGGCCTATGCTTCCCAAAGCCCTGGGCACCACACCAAGCTGTCTCAGGAAGAGGAAGAAGCCAGAGGGGACCGAGGTACCAGGTGGCACCTGGGAGGGGTCAGCTCAGGGGCTACCACCTGCCACCCCAATGACACTCCTCACATGGCCACACCTACTTGGCAGCAGCCTTTGATCTCTCACGTACACATTTGAAATGAGGAACAGTGTGACCAGGCTCCAGGGAAAAGAAGACAACATGGAAACCTGAGAATTGCTGGCTGGGGCTGTGCCTGGAAAGAGATTTGGGCAGGTCAGTACAGCTGCACAGTTTTGCCAGAACTTTATGTGTGCATGGGGTATGTGAATGTGTGTGTGTGTGTGTGTGTGTGTGTGTGTGTGTGTGTG